ATTTGATTTATAAAAATTTAACATGTTGTTGGTCCAAAATAAAAATCAGGTATAGTATACTTAAATTCAGCTGTATAAATTCTTTCTGTATTTTTGTTTTGTGCTGTTGCAGTAATAAGTGATTCGCCAAACATTAAAGAAAAGAATACAGGTCTATCAAGTTTTGATTCAACGTCAGGTAATTCGACATACAATTCTCCAATAGGCTTCATTCCAGGTTCATCACAAAATCTTTGATTATGTCTTGCAGTAGCATATACCTTAAAATTAATGCCAGTTTGGTCAGGATACACGGGATAATATGTTGAACTGAATGGTTTATCTGGAGAATATTCTTTCCCACGATATGCCAAACAATTAAACTTATATATACGCCCTTCTGCTGTCATTCTTTTCTTTGGGTCTACTCCTTTTTTCCATAATGGATAAACTTGAACACCTACAAATGTGTATATATATATGTAAATATCTAGACCGAGAAAATTTTTACAAAAAAAAAAGATAATAATAAAAATACCATAATTTAATTTCAATTGGCGTGTTGCAATTGTCTTTTTATTTAAACCATAAATGACACCTTTTTTTATTGTAAAATAATAAGTGAATGTTATTATTGCATAAATATAATGTTTGGTTATTTAAAGCTTTAAAATTATACTATCACTATACCTCCTCTTAGAACAGCAGAAATTGGATTTTGTGGGACACAAATAATTGGAACTTAAAAAAAAAAAAAAAAAATGCAAAATTAGTTGTCGGCTGAGAAAAATCAGACTTTTTTTTTTTCGAAAATACCTGCAGAATTGAAAGCTTCCTTTACTTTTGAGACAAGATATGGCGATTCCGCAAAACCTCCAACTATAAACATTGCTGAACATTTTTCTTTTGAAGATGTCAATTGATTGCGAATCAAACGAATGATTTTTTCTATTACTGGGTCAAACATTTTACGAACATCTTCATATTTAATCTCTAATAGCCAGTCCTCTTTTTTATATTACAAA